ACTTCTCTGACTCTGCAGTCCTCAGCACATACAGCTCATCTCACAGACCCAGGCCAGCTCCATTCCAAACCTACTGCTGTCCTTAGTGATCATCCCATGGTCCTGGCATCTCCAAAAAGCTGGGGTCTCCACTGAAACTGAGACTACACCTTCACCAATGGCCTCTTCTTTCCTCTTGGGGTGCAAAGCCTCAGATTCTCTCCATGACCCTTTCAATCCTGGGGTCTTCACTGCAACTGAAGCTGCACTTTCACCTATGGCCTTTCCTGGCCTCTCAGAGTGCCAAGCCTCAGCTGCTCTCTGACTACTTCATGCTTTCAACACTGGAACCATGCAGGAGACTCTTACACATTACCAAGTGCTGCTTCCAGCTTGAGATAGAGACTCGGATCCCCTCTGTGTGCTAACCCTGAGGAAATACTTCCCAGAAGACTTCACCACAGTGATCCTGGTCTCTTGTTACTTACAGCTAATTTTTCAGCCCCAGCTAACTGGCATCAATTGTTCCAGTAAAGCAAAGGTTTTACTTTAGGTTCTGGTCTCTTCTTACAGCTGATTCTTCAGCCCCAGGAAACCAGAACGCACAGATTCTCAATTCAAAATATCACACAAACAGCCCTGATGGTCTCTGCTTCCCTTTGAATCTTCACAAGCCAGGCCTCCATTGTCTACAACTCTTTAAGCATAACTGTTCCATGCTCCACAACAACAAACTCCAAGCACTCAATGGCTTTTCCAGCCCAAAGTTCTGAACGCTTCCACAATCCTAAAAATACCAAGGTCAGGTCTCTCACAGCAATACCCCACTATGTGGTACCAATTTCAGTCCTAGATTGTTTCTCCATTGCTGTGATAAAATACTCTGACTAATACCAACTTGGGAAGGAAAGGGTTTATTTTATCTTACATCTCCCAGGTCACAGTTCATCAAGGAGCCCAAGGCACGAACTCAGGGCAAGAACCTGGAGACAGGAGCTGGAACACAGGACATGGAGGAACACTGCTTACTGCTTGTTCCCCTGGCCCTTGCTCAGCCTGCTTTCCTATGCAACACAGGCCCACCTTCCCAGGGGTGGCACCACCCATAGTGAGCTGGGCCCTCCAACATCACTCAACAATCAAGAAGATGCCCCATGGACATGGCCACAGGCTAGTCCAATGAAGGCATTCCCCAATTAAGGCTCCCTCAACCCAGGTGTGTCAAGTTGACACTAAAGCTATCCAGCACACCCTCCAAGGTTGACTAAGTTCCATTTTGGAACATCTCTCAAAATGTCCTATAACTGTGGTGAATCACCTGTCCTCTTCTTCAGGGAGGCCATGGAGGCCCCACAAGACAGACCTGAACCAGTGCCCAGTCTACAAAGAGGAGGGTCAACTCAGAGGAATCATTTCCTCCACGCTTCCAAGTGAAGGAGCAATGACCTTTGACTTATCTTCACACAGACAGAACTGGTAAAAGAAAAGAGCCAGGGGCTCCTCCCAAGCCCATGTGACCCCTGAGGAACAGATCCTCAAACGACCTTAAGAGTAAAAATAAATTGGTTTATGTGGGCCAACTGTATGGCCTTAAACACACAAAAAGAAAGTATAACCAAAGATTAAAGGGGTCGATATAATTTTTTAAGAGTCCGTAAGTACAGCTAAAGGCTACATAACAAGCAACAATGCCAGATAAGAGATACCTTCTTTTGAATTGTTGGCCAGGTGGCCCAAGAGACTCCCAGATAGTAACCCAGCATAGAACTGGGAAAATGAACAGCAGCAGATCCCAATCTTATCTAAAGGAATATTGACAACTGATTGCTGCTAGAGGAGGAACAGCTGACCTTCCTAAAACAAAGACCTCTAGATAGGCTGACTGTATTCACCAGATGGACAAGTAGTGGGGAATGGCTGGGGGTGCCAGCAATACAGCAGACAGTAGCAGGGATATCAGAGTATAAGGGCTCTGAGGGGAGAGAGGCTATGGGAGGGTGCCATCTGGGAATCGGGTGTATACTTGAATAAGAAAGTTTGGGATGTTCTATGTGATATACACACACAGAAAAAAAAATCAACAAATTTTAAAAAATATATTTGAGGAGGAAGCATGGGAATTTACATCACGTTAATTAGTAGAGGTGATAAACATTACCACTGAAGTCTACCCAGTGACTTTATATCTATACACAGGTGCCAAGGATCTGAGTGCAACCAAATCATGACTAGTAATAATTAGATACATACAGATTAGAGAGGCATGAGCCAACATCTCAGTGTTATGAGCAAAAACAATGAGTTTTTCTGTAAGAAACAGTATATTTTAAAATGAAATGGAGATCTTTTTTAAAGGTTAAAAACTCATTCAATTTTATGTCTTAAAGGGCTTATACTGAGTTCAATATTGTATAACTGTATTAATTCAACTGTGAACCTAAACATTTTATAACCATTTTTGAAAGAGATGTATCTTTGCTCTGGAAATTATTATTGAGTATGTTAAAGCTGCAATGAAATGCTTCTTCTAAAAAATAAAAAAGAAGAAGAAGAAAGAGTACTGGAAGTTATCAGAAAAAAGTGATGGGGAGATATAGGAGGAGTTGGAGGGGAGGGAATGGGCATGGATTTGATCAAAACACCTTATATGCCTTTATGAAATTCTCAATAAATCATTTTTAAAAAGATTGGCATACACATCTACATAAAATAATGTTTAAAACACCATAGCCCTCTGTTATGATGTACTTTTTCTTATTTCACATGTAATTAGCATGCAGACTATCAGGCAATTGCAAAATCCAGAATTTAGGATAAAAATCACATAAAAATTGGACTTATTTTGGTTTCAGAACACTAGAAAATATCTGAAGGTTAAATATCATAGTTATGCTTATACATTTCCTTACATAAACTTCTAGAAGATTTCTCACTAATCTTGAGTGACTACAGACTCCCCCTAAAATGCAGGAAACCTTTATGGAAGCATGGGTTCTCCTCTCCTGCCTATCACATTTGGAATGACAATATAACCACAGAGGAAAGACATAACAAAAACTTTACTCTTGGGATCTGGAATATTAATCCATGCTTTGCTTCAAACTGAGCTCTAAATTACAATATCCAGGGATTCCTTTCCACAACTTGATGATTTCTCTGCCCTTCCTAAGATTGGCTTCATGCAAGGGCCTTATTGAGAGAAAGTAAACTCCCCATATCTGCGGGAAAGCAGTTCATGAGTTTAGGGCTAACAAAGTGTGATTGGTTTTAAAACACATCACTGTTTACTTTTTTCTTCAAAACATTAATAGCTTCCATTTTTTCATTATTTTAAAGCCATGTACATTATGTTAAAAGAAAAAAGTCAAGACCAAAGTTAGAACACCTGCCTAAAATCCTTTCACCAAAAAGTCTCAACTCTTAACATTTTGGTGTAGATCTTTACAATGCTTCTATTCCGGTAACTCTTCTATGATTGTTTCTGTTTATTTACAATGTAACTAAAATATTTATTTCCCAAATATGGTTTTTTAATAGCTTATTCTTTCTAAGCATGGTGGTGCATGCCTTTAATCCCAGCACTCGGAATGCAGAAGCAGGCGGATCTCTGTGAGTCTGAGGCCAACCTGGTCTACATAGCTAGTTCCAGGCCAGTCAGGACTACACAATGAGACCCTGTCTCAAAAAAGTAAAGCCCTTTTGTTGTTGTCATGTTGTTGTTTTGTTTTGTTTTAGGGAACTATGTCCATTCCATTCTCTTATATGAGATCAAAAGATATGTGCCTAAATTGTTACATTGCATCCAAAATAATAAAGATAAATAAATTTATGTAAGCTAGCATATTTTCATTTATCATCAGTGAGTGCTTTAACTGTGTCCAAAGACTCACAGAAAAGAAACGTATTACAAATGCATTAGCATAGTGGAACGGAAGTGAGTTTTTATTTTGTTACTTGTTTATAAAGAGGTTATAATGTTTCCTCTCCTTCTCTTTCCTACTTCCCAGTCACCTCACCCTTCACCCTTTCACTGTTGGTACCCATCTCTCTTCCTTGGACTGCTAGTTCTAACAGCCTGATTTCCATTAGCCCAATAAGAAAAGATAATTTTAGGATTTCACCAGGACAACTTTTTGCAAAATGTACAAATAGACCACAAATATAGTTTCTTTCTTTGTATGTGTGAGTGTATATTCAAATATTCATAAAGTACCTGTTAATAGAAACACAAAATGGTAATATGTACAGCAAGAAGTGGGTGGCTGAGGTGAAGACAGAGGAAAAGCAAACTTTAGATTATAAACCTTTTTAGATTTCATAAATGCTTCATAATAACATCTTTTCAAAAATATATTTGAAATAAAGACATAGGTGCATATATACATACAATTATATAATGTTTAGCTTAATAAAGCATAGGTTTATTTTCCAGATGCTACAACTTAGTAACTGTCCAGGGAAATTCAACTACTAACTATAACACTGTCACCTTTTGAAAGGTATTTTTCTTTTCTCTGAGGGTAATGTTAGTTGCTATTTTATGCCACAACAGACTTAAAGTACCAAGTTTGAATTGATTGCATGGAAACTCACAGAAGTGTCTGCTCTATTATAGAGCACTCCCTGAAAGAGACCTGAATTCAGAGTCACAGACAAGCCATTTGTCAAATCATATGCTAGTATATCTAGCTCAAATATACTCATGCATGCATGCACATGCACACCTGTGTGTATACAAACACACACACAAACACAGTGTGGAAGAAACATTATTAGGATAGTTCCTTAGATGCACTGAGAGCAACTGTCCTGAGATATGAAAAGTGACAGGAATTCTAACTTTAGCTTCAGTCATTTTGAAACATAAATTTCCCTGGCTCTTGGTTCTGTTAATGATGAAGTCCTCTGAGCAGCCTCTGAGTGGCAAAATGCAGTTCAATTTTGAGAGTTAGTTAGTTCACTCTACTCAGGGCTCAAATATCCATGATTTTACATCCCTATTTTTCTTTCTTTGTTTACAGGTAGTGAACTCAAAGTTATCCAAAGAGCGCCACTTTATTAAGATGAAAAGACCAAAGAATGATACCGTGGAAAAATACTTCAGCAATCAAAGCAAACTACGACGACAAAATTCTGTCTCAAATCTTCAATCGCCATATCATGTCAGAGGTCCAATAAATCAGATTTTTTCTGAAATCCTGCTCAGCAGGATGTGTGCAAGTCAAGGGTCTGTGCAGACTCCCTGAAAGAGACCTGAATTCATAGTCAGAGACAAGCTATTTGCCTGGACAGTGGTCTGGGAGCCAAATGTGCCTCACATGTACTTTGGAATGATTGTACACTCACCACTGTGAACATGCACACTAAAGCTTGCAAAAGAGTAATGACATTTTTTTCATAGCTTTACACAGTCAAGATGTGAATTTGAGCATCAATTTGTTTCAGACTGAAAGGCAGAGCTATAAGATTACTTGAAATATGATCACAGACTAGGACCACGGTGGGCCAGGTGATGTATTGTGATAATAAACAAAAGTATAGAAATTTGAACTACATAGGAGAAAGGGTAATGCTGTTTATCTGTAATCTTCTCATAGGAATGTTAATATTTAGAAGGCAGAGAAGCAATTACATTCCACTTGTAAGGAGGGATTATGCTTATGTTCTTTACCAGGAGAAAGTGTGGTATTTATGGTGGTTTGGGCATTGTGGATCTAATGCCTATGAAATTTCTTCTTATACTTTTAAAGTTTTATAACAGAAGGAAAATATCAGAAATGATGCTCTTTATGGGAATTCAAAAAGATTCTCTGAGAGATAATAAGTGAAGCTATACTGAACTCCGGATTCTGTGATTTTTCATAAGCATTCCCTTCTGTCCTGTCTGTGAGCTTAGATGGGGGAACCGCAGTCTAAATTAATGAAATACAGAATTTCAGAGTGAGGAACAAAATGAAGTTCCCCACTTATCACTTTATTATGTTTGTTCATGCTATTACTTAAGGAAGCTTTCACTTGCCAGTATAGATCTCTGTGATTTAAGATGACAATTTCATTTCATGCAAATACTTTGCAAAGTCTTTCAGGTTCTCAAATGTATAAGCATAAAGCGTTTTCTATGTATCCACAAATAGTGCTATGTTACTAGTATCTGTATTTTTATTTCCTAGAACAAATGTATCCAATCCAACTTTAGAGTAGGCATGAAGTATCTTTTATGGAAATTGTGGCATATGCATAAAACATACCTAATTCTAGTACTGAAAATTTTCTCTTCTATACTTTTGGGTTCAAAATGGTAAATGTCTTTATTATACAAATACTTTGTTGTGAGACAGTATTTCACTGTCATTGTGGCTTTTAAAGGATAATTTGGGGGACAGGGTTAATTCTACCTGTGGCTGAAAGCACTAAATGTACAAATACCTCAAATTCATGGCCATACAAAAATGAAACTACTTTAATCTGTTGATTCATCAGTTCTTTAGTATAGAAGAGAAAATTCAAATATTCTATTTTTATACATATTTTTGTAAGAACATAAACATGAATTTATATTTAACTA